GGCACTTAAGGTAATGATTTAACAAGAAGAAGAATAAATGGTGCATTTGTATGCGCGGGGCATCTTGTCCCGTTTAATTTTTGTATCTACGTATAAGTTTTTCTGCTACATGTCTTAATGAGGTGTGTTTTCCGGCCTGACTGTTTGTTTTCCATATGGTATCTGTCCCCCCGTTGCAAGGTGGATAGGAGCGATTTATGATCAGCAATCCTAGAGCAGGCATGTATTTCTTTGATGTTTATTTTGCAACGATTGATGTGGTTTTTTGATTTTTTGTTTTTCTGTTTTTCTGATGCTATGTTTTTAAGATTGTTAGAGTGCTTTGGGTTGCGTTAATTTAGGTAGCAGCAGCGGTGGGGTTTTGAGGAGAATGCTTGGTTGTGTCATAGGAACGAAGGGATGTAAGTAATTGTGCCTACCATAGATTTGTGTGTGTAGTGTGTTTGGAAGACCGGATATCGTGTGGGTTATAGGCTTCTTTTTCATCAGTTCGTGGGTGTTGCTGTTTTTTTATTGCCTCGGAAGGACCAACAAAGATGGGACAACTATGTATGCTGCCGTGATGTGGTAGTTTCTCTGATGGCGAAGTTTCTGTGAAAAGTTGAACTCATTGCTCTTTAGCCTTTGTGTATACTGATGTGAAACAAAGGGTCCTGAAACGGTTTTGCCAGAGAGGGATGGCTTTCCCTTTAAAATATTCGTGAGCGACTTATGAGACAGATTTATATCTAGGGTTATAGAATTAGAATGTATTTTTTGTCTATTGTTTAGATCAGAAATGAGGGTGGTTTTGGGATGTTTCTTTTATTGTGCTTTTTGTTGTATTGGCTAGTGCCGGATCCGCCCTTTACCAAAATGTCTTCTATTTTTAAATATACCTTTTGGTTTCGTTTGTGGCCAGCTATGTGTCATCTAGAATGCTTCTTCGTGGAGTAGCACTTTGAACTCCATTGGAGCTTTCTGAATAACAGATTGTATAGGTTCTGCATACTTAACAGGAGTTTGTGTTGCTGCTGGATAATCGAGTGGCATGGTGGAAATTAAAAGCACACCTTAAAATAATGAGGATATTAGAAGTTGTTACAGTATGTAATTTAGTTGAGGACTTTCTTTCTAGGGTGTTTATGGGTTAGCGGTACTCTGCGATTAAAGGTTTGTTCTTAAGCATGCAGTTCCCCCCAGTTTTTTCTTCAAATTTGTCAAAGTATTTTGAGTGTTCGCATTTATTTTATTTAAGAGATCATTATTGACTTTTGATTTTAAGGTCCCAAAGATGTGACCCGTCTTTTAAAAAATTTACTGTCAGGACTGATTTGCTGAGGATTGTGATGATTGATCTACGTACACAACCAAAGTTAAAACACCCAGTGCCTTTTCTAAATTAAATAAAATGTTTAGTGGTACTTTATTTTCTTTACTATATTGACATATGCTTCAAAGGGCCAAATTAGATTCCATGTTTAGTGTGTCAGTCCTGCTTTCCAGGAAAAGCGCGGACAACTGCTTTAAAAATTTTTCACCCCTATGTCAGGTCGTAAGATTGGTTAAGTATCTGCCTCGATGTATGACGACTTTAATTGGAATTGGATACAAGCTTTGTTTGTTTCCTTTGTAAAGTACTGTAGAAAAATGTGTTTGATTGTGGGGCGATTAGAGAGTCCTTTTGTTAAGACCCCCAGTCCTGCGTCCAGGCGACTGTCATATTTAAGCAAGTGTATTGCTAGAAGGCCAGGCAAGTTGTAAGTACCTAATTAGAAGGGATTTTGCGTGTGATGAGCAGATTTTCCTGTCCATTGTGTAAATGAGACCATCTTTCTAACCTCATCTTATGGAAAATCCCACATGACGGTATTATTTATCTTGAGAATTAAAAGATGATTAGTGCATTGTACTAGTTTATGTTTGATTTAAAAGAGATCTGCTGATAGTAAACATAACCCAGCACGCTAATTGATCCAATTTTACACGGCATATGTTTTTATACTACACACCCTGAGGTAGTTAGTAAATTTTGGAGTTTGGTCCCGCCAGCCGTTAAAGGGTAACGGTGTAAATCTCTCTAATTGGGCAATAGGATTTCAAGATTGTTAGCTTGCTGTTGGCCGCCAAATGGACTGAATGTGTTTAGGGGTTGTTAAATTAGTTGTCTTTTTTGCAGTGCCAGTTCATTTTGCGCAGGATATACATGTTTTGGAACCTGTGTT